AGAATTCAGGAAGTGACACCAGGGTTTTACTCTTGGACTTGTTGCCTCAACGATCAGTACTTAGATGAGTAGAAGATAGATGGATGGATACAAGGCAAACAGTTTTCTAATTTAGTGATTTAAATAGATAAAACATAGCATGTTTATGCTGTTCCTTCTGTCTGATCTACAAATCAGAGCATGACATATTTTTTTTAACATATGTTCATTTTTCCAAGAAAAACAATTAACAGAACACCTGCCAGAAAGTTATATAATTATGTCTTTTAAAACTGTATTCAAGTTTATTCAAGCTGAAATTTCAAGCTGAAATTAAATCAAGGTGTTCCACAAGATTTAAAAAGAAATACAATGAATGAACCCTTTTCATCTACTGTGCTTTTATGGAAGAACATGGAGGGTTCATTGAGTCATCTGTTTATCTCAATGAGCACACTTCAAATATCATAGTGGTAAAAACGTACTTTTCAGAAAATGTGTTGAACCCCTCGCCCTGCCTCCAGTACAAAAGCTGCATTTTTGCTAAATGTCAGCTATGCGACAAATAACTCACTCGCACTCAAGATCCTCGACTATCACAATGGCAAAATCAAGATAACAAAGTATTTTGAATTTGTTTGAAAACTAAGCGGTCCTCCCAAGGGAGGTATTTCCCACAGACAGCCACTATTAGCTGAAATCTGAAGTGGCTTTTAGATAGGGGACCCAATACATAAAAAGATATCCTGAGTAGTAAAGTAAGGGGTGAAGGGGAGGGGCCACCATCTTATGTTGAGAGAGAAGGGGAGGGTCGGTTTTTGTTAACAACGACTTCATTGATTCCAAGTTCCTAACCTCCTCTCAGCCCTTCATTCCCTTGTTCCTCCATCGTATCATCCATCTCTTCTTTCAAGCTATTTTCTCATCTTTTGTTCATCACCTCTAACAAACCTCTCTTTTATCAAGTTAATGTTCTACCTCCCCAAAAATGTCAAATGCCTTTGAATTGATCATAACAGTTTTTTTATTCATTGAAACAGAATTTGAATTCATCCTGAGTATTTTTTTCTATGAAAATAAAAACCCCGCCACAAGTTCAAGTATCAGTAAGTATCAACTAGACCAGCACAAAGAACCAATTGTTTCATATTTTGCGAGCATGCGGCTCATTTTTCACTGGTGTGTTTCTGTGAACAGCATAATTAATTTGTACGATTTCTGTTTGAACAGAACTATCTGGATAAGCATTTTATAGTGGAATGCTGCAATAAGAGCGTAGAAGTTTGTTTAAACAAAAAAACGAAAGTTAATGTGAGACTTTTTGTTTGGTTTGTTTTCAACAGCAAGATCTACTTTGTTTCACTCTGCATTTCTCTTCATATTACTAAACTAGCACCTGACTCGTAAATATGATTGCGTCAGACAGTTTGACCATTTTGGCTGTAACCTGAGCACAGCGACCTCTATGAGTAAAATGAGCTCAGAATACAGTATCACAACAGGCGTCATCACTGGAAAGGAGGACACTAAAAATGTGACAAAAGATAACATCACAGAACCTGATAATATACGAAAAAGACTGAAGAAGAAAAATATAGCATCATTCTACAAGTCAATAGGCTTCCTGAGTGACCAGGTAGGAAATCTACAGAAAAAAAGCTGTACTCTTGCTCCCACAAACACCCCAATGGGCTGTGATGCAGTAGTTTCATCTCCAGTTTTTACATCACTGTCTGTGATATAAAAAGTGACTTGAACTGAATTCAATTTGAAAAATATATTTTTTCACACGATGCTATGTGTTCTAGAGATATTTTTTAAAGGTGCATGCAATTACATAGACTAGGAAGAAATTAATCTGAAAAAGGGAAAATAAATCTGTTTTAGAAAAACATTAGCATGCATATACTAAAGAAAATGAATCTCAATACTATGAACTATAACTGAGTTACTGTCTACAACTGACATTCCAATGTACTACATTACCCTCACAAAATTCTACTCTGCCTCACTTACACCTACCCGTCTTCCGCAACTGCCATAATTCAAATCACTTGGAAAGTCCACTGACGCTGTAAAAGAACAAGAACAAGGTAAAATGCAACATTGCTTGTGCAATTTGCTTGTTTTCCACTGACTAAACTACCGTATTTAATTTCCTAAACAGTCCTCAAGTGAAAACTTATTTTATTTTTTTTTTAGATTTTTTGGCTCTAGTGGCCTTTAATGACAGTAGGTTGACAGGAAAGGGGGCAGAGATAGAGAGAGGGAGACCTGCGGGAAAGGGCCGTGGGCCGGATTCGAACCCAGGCCGCCCGCTTACGAGCGGAGGCTCTGTATATGGGCCGCCCGCTCTAGCCATTAGGCTACGGCTGCGGCCCAAGTGAAAACTTTTAATTTTTGGCTTCTTTAAATTGTCTGTCGCACTTAGCAAGCAGACGAATGATTTCTATCTGAGGCTGCGCTCTCACACCAGATTTGATTGACACAGCCAGTGGGCTCTTTTCTTAGTTCTAGAGGCCTTGAAGCAAAGCGTTTGCGCAACTCTCCAGGTTTTGGCACAAAAAACTCCCAAATCTTTGTATTCTCTGATAAAGGTATTTAAGGCAACAAAAATCCAACCAAGACTGCTTGGTTTGATTTTTTTTTTCTTGCTGGGTATTCTTCCCATGTACCAAGGCAGGTACGAGTACATATACATCAACATAAATCATACCATCTTTTATTAAATCTCAGACAGAAAACAATCATTTCAGCTAATCGGCCAATTAGGCACATGACAATATTGACTTGCCTGTTTGGTTGTCTTACTAGAAAAAGAAAAATGCAGGTTTCAAGGTTGATCAATAGTTATATACATCTTCATTTTTTCTCTGCACTCCTTGACTACTGCGACATCCAGGAAGAGGAGCTTGCCAAAAGGGGCAAACCAGACTACTTCTTATCAAACATTTGTTAATTGCTGTTACCAAAATCAAGTCACTCGTGCTTGCCAAAAGATTGATTTTTGGTACTTACCTAAACTTACTCATAAAAGCTCATGGTGACTCTCAACCTTTGCTCGCTTTAGGATTTACATCCATTACTCATTTACATGGGAGTGAGTCCAATCTGTTCTTAATTTTGGTTCCAATTTCATCCATGGTATTAGAAAAGGAGCATAAGGATCACTTGGTTTGCCATTTCTTCCTGAAACACCACCTCTCTCTTAACATCTCAGCAAGCCCTATTTCAAAATGGGTTCTTCTGTTTGTGCTCAGCCTTCTTAAGGGAAAAACGCCTTTAAAAAGTAATGTGAGCGTTTATTACGACTGTGCAGCTTGATTTGGAAGCCCGTTTGGATAAAGTAATCTGTAAAATGACTATATTTGAATATAAACACAGGCGTCAAAAGCTTTTCAAAGCATCCGTGTCACAAAGGAGTTCCTTTCAGGTGCGGTCCACATGCAGTGAAATTTCAAACGCTGGAATTGTGCGTACAGTTCGGTGGTCTGCTTGTGTGTGTGGAGATTACTGGATGTCAGGAAGTCTAGTGTTTCAGCAGTGTTTTCCACGTTTTTTTTTCTTTCTCTATTCGCCAGCACAAGACATTACATTTATACCGGCCTATGTGGCGTTTACTGATACGAGAGAGGCCCATTCTCGCTCAGATGACACACAAACACACAGACACACACATAACAGGAAAAAACAAATGCTTATAGAAAAGGAAACTGTGTTCATCTGGATTATTTTACCCTTAAGTCATTTTTTTTGTGCGCTAATGAAAGTTAAGCTTGTGTTTTCTAGTAAACCCTGCAGCTGTAAAAAACTTGTGATGTTGACTTTGTTGGTCACAGAGACCCCAGCGCAAACACAGCAAAGTTAAGAGGCTGCAAGATATGGAGCACTATAAGTTAATGACACATTTATAATGATGGTGCTTGGGTTTATTTTTGAAAGAAACGAAACATAAAAAAATAAAAAAAATGAGTGAGATTCCCCAAAGATGTTTTTTTTTAAACGATTACAATTATTCACAAATACAGTTTTTTTTTTTTACCCTCATCTTCAAAGCCAAACAAAAATAAGCTAATCAATGAAAACTGTTTCCTAGTTCTCTTTTTATAACACAAAATTTACAGAGATGAAAAGAAAAAAAAAGCCCAATATCAATCAAATAAACGGAAGAAAATACACATTACAAAGGGGAATGGAAGATAGTAACATGAGACGTGTGGAGGCAGAAAAAATGGATTATAGTGGCACCTACCAACTTCTTCAGTGATGTAGAATTTGAATGGTCCTGTTATGCTGTCAGATCATGCCATTATCTTCTTTGCTTCCAAAACTAAAGAGAGGGAGAGGAAAAACACTTTCGATCAAATGAAACTCAGAACATCAGACATGAATTTTGCATGGATGTGGTCTCGTCACAATTCTTACAACTACAATTAAAATGAGAGAGTGGAACAGAGGATAAATGTCGCTTCACCTCCATGCTTTTGGGAGTTAATAACTCAAGAGGCTGACCTGAGATCGGTGGATTGACTCAGTGAAAACCAGCCAACGGCACAGTCAGAAAGTGCCTGGAGGGAACAACTGTTTTCAGTAAAACTATATAGGTATATTTAAGGATAATTGGTGTTTTTTTTCTATTGAAACTCCACCAGCTCAAAATCATTTAAGATATTTCTGAGCAACTGGTCAGAGGTGACTAAACATGTCAAAATTCAACTGAAGAAACACAGAACAGCCTACGGATTTGGGTACAAACACCAGTACAGTGGGACCAGGTCAGAGCTAAAAAGGTGGCCCAAAAGAAGCAGGTCCAGCATGCAGGAGGCTCGAGTAACTTCAATAACTTAGACACTTGACGGGTTTGGTCAGGGTTCAACCCACCGACCGAGAAGCTTAACCAGGTCTGGAAACATTACCATGTCACTGACCGCAAACACAGCCAATCGGGTACCCACTCCACAGACTGCTGAGATCCGCCGTCCGTTCTGACAGGTAAAGATAAGCAAAGCTGCAGGCCGCAGATGGCGTCCGAGGAGGGGCGTTCGGGGACTGTGCGAACGAACTGCCAGATGTGTTCACTGGCATTTTTCATACATCTCTGTCGCCGCGCTCTGTACCCACGCTACAACAGACCCGCGGCCCTAACGACGGTCATGATCGAGTGCTTGGAGTGACCGGTTCTGAAACGCATCGAGTCTGCTTTAACACACACGTTGGACCCCTACCAATTATCTTACAGACCAAATAGATCCACAGATGATGGCCCCACACTACGCAGTATGCTTCTCCACCAAGAAAAATAGGAACACATCCAAAGGCTGTTATTTGTGGCTTACACTTCTGCTTTTGATACGACCCTGCTAAGCAAGACTCTCTAAAAGATGCCGGACCTTGGCGTCCAGCACAATTTTTTTGACCAGCTGGCAATAGTTAATACCGATGGGTTCTCACTTCAACCCTCCAACTCTCTGTCTCCGATGACAGGATACTCAAGGCTGTGTGTACATATGGCCGTACACCCACCCACAACACCAGCGTAGTCATCTGGTTTGCAGGTGACAGTACGGGTTTGATCAGCAGAGGACTTGAAACAGCAGGCAGGGAGGAGGTGTAAAGGCTTACTCATTGGTGTGAGCCAAACAACCTTACATCGGCGACCGGGAATACAAAGGAAACTATCATCAACTTCAAGAGGAACACTGATCACCATTTACTGGACCCCAATGGGGAAAAAGTGCAGTCAGTCTTAAAAGAACCCCCATTAAGAATGCCATATTTCTGAGGATGGACACCCGTCACCCACTTCCTGGTGAAGGAGGCACAACTAGGACTGCCCTCTCTACAGACTCTTTTGGAGGTCAATCGGTCCCAGCACCCACTGCCGTCCTTTTACCACTGCACAGTGGAAAGTGTCCTGACACCAATGGTCTGTTTGCGCGCTCTCGTAACAGCTCGGCGGCAGACAAAAGGGTCCTGCCGAGAATCATCAGTGCTGCTCAGAAGACCATAAATACAACTATGTCTGCTCTGGAAGAAAAAGAAAAGGGAGATCCTGAAAGGCTCCCTCTAATCTAGCCCATCATCTAGGCGGACATTACTGAAACTGCAACTTTCAATCAGCATATGTGGAATACGGATCATGATAAACCTCTGCCTTTCAAAAGCATTATTTGGATGTCTTTATTGTGCCCGAATCAATGTTTGCTTTTTTACGTATGATACTAATTAAGCATCACCATAATCAAAAAATCAAAATACAGTTTTTGATTTAAGTTCCCTGGTCTATATAAGAGTGCTTAACTCTAAGATGTTCTTAACCTTTTTTTTGTTATAGAATCCATGGTGTTGCCTTTTCTGTTCTTATTCAGCCTCATTTCCCCTTAAACTCTCTAATAAATAATTGTGGAGATGTGTGTAATAGGCTAATTTGATTATATTCAACTGCCATAACAAATGAAGAAATCCCAATACATTTTAGTGAAAACTGGCAATTACACAAATAAATTAAAAAAATCAATAAATGTTTTAAAAGGGGATACTCCCAAAGTATACTTCTCTTTATATAAAAGTAACTTTCTCTGTACACTTTTCACATAGGATAAGCACAAACCGTATGATAAAGTATGAAAGTGAATACCATCACTTAACCAGAAACTTTTTTAATTGGCTCTGTATTTATTTATTTAGAAATAAATTAACTTAAATCAATTATATTTTGATTGTATTACAATTAATTGAATAGGCCTGAACTGGTATGCATCTTAGAATTGCCAAGAGATGACACTTGGTGTGATTTGACACTATATAAATAAAACAGATTTAAATTAAATTAATTTTAATTCCAGGAATGAAAAAACAAGTAATCCACTTAAATGCTAAAATTAAGCTGCTGCCATGTCTCTGGTCTTTTTTCACCTTTTTAGAGGGGATTTAAAGTGTACAGATGCCACTTTTCCCCCAAGGCCACCACTAGACAGCTTATTTTGACAGAACCTTTGTTGGCTTATATATTGATCCTCTGATGCTGTGGTCACTTTTGGTCTACTAATCCAGTTCCCACAAAGTGCTTTACAGTTCTCTGGACTTCCCTCTTGAAATCCATCAGTTTAGCCATGATGTGAGCTCTAGAAAGGTTCTGATAATCTGATTTTGGCTATAACTCATAACTGTTTTATAGATAAAAAGCATAATTTCTGAAAGGATCACTTTCATGTCATTAATTTAAATGTTAATAAATAACTTAATCACAAAGATAATTACATAACCATTAGCAAAAAAGTTGAAGTTACTGAAATATGTAAAATTATCAAAATTATTAGATCACATGACTAAAAAAGACTTTTTTTTTTCAAAATTTTACAAAAACCTCTAACAATTGAATGACTAAATTGTATTCAATAGCCTGAAAAAGGTATTTTGTAAGGTCCCCATTGTTTTTCTCTACTTTCTGACAGTTTCTCTTATTAAATTGCAAACAGTTTGTAGTTATTCACACAGACTTGCTTTGGACTTATGTGATCAGTCTTTGAATCTCCTAAATCCCACAATGACTTTGAATAGGATTCTCCATCAGTTCCAGTATACCAGGTGTTTCTGGATGCCTGCAAGCCTCAGTAATGACTATTCTACCCTTTAAGCCATCTTCGATCAGCCATCTGCTTATATGATTGTCAAGAATTTTTCAAATTCTGAAGCATTCATCTCTGCCTGAAAATCAGCAGTGGTTTTCCTTCGGTCTCCTGCCTCGTGTTGGAAATAGTACACTGGCCACAATGAGAGCAATTTATGTCTTTTCCTTTGAGATTGTGAAATGTTCACCACTCAATGATCAATGTTTAACCATTCTGAACTAATTATGATTTCAAACTGAATCCATCCATCCATTTGTATACCCTTCTCTTAGAGTATCTCACACCCGATATCTGAGAATAGTCAGAGACATCTCCGACTAATCTCAGCAATCAGTCACTCAGCCACACGGTCACCAAAAAATTAAGTCATGGAACCATCCAACCCTTTTTCTTCCCCTTTTGTTAAAGCCAAAAAAAAACCAAAACCCTGCTCTTGTACCACCTCAGTTTAGTTTCACACATCCTTTATCTGGATTCCGGCTCTGAAGCCAGACTGTTCAGTCCTCTCTCTTGCAAAACCTTGGAAGTTTGAGGCCTGAATGCTGTTTTAGTCCAGGCTAATCAAGCACAAGGTCCATGCCACTAAAACCAATCTAGGGATCGAGTTCGTCTCATATTCTAATGAGAGACAAAACTCTTTCTGACGAGACATGAGATAACAACTTTATCCAAAGCAAGATCACCTCTTTAGGACTTATGGTGGTACTCCGAAAACACATCTCAACACAATGCAAATGGTCGATCTGACCACAAAAAGTAATGTTACATGGGATGCCCTGTAAGAAATGGGCAATGGGCTTACATTACTTTTGACACCTGGCCGCTACACAAACTCAGTGGTTCTTTTCGAGGAACTTAAAGTCATGGAGAAGTATCACACTGCTGAATGTTTTAAACTTGAGGTACTAAAAGAGAAAAGCAACAATTTGCCATTATATTAGCAAGAGAGAACTATGGGCATTTCCATATCAGAGCTAAGGTTATTGTAAAGTCTTGCATAAAGCATGAATCACATTCAAGTAATACATTTTCTGGTTCCCTTGGTTTCACTAAACTAAACAAATCATCATTGACACTATCCACCTCTAATTTTGACCTACATATACACATATAGTTTCTTATGTATATATCTAGCTATATTTATGAGGAATTTTGTATATATATATGTATATATGTATAGACATGTACATATGTATATGCCTTTGTTTTATTTTGCTTATGGAGCCTGTAACAAAAATAATTTCCCTCTGGGATTATTAAAGTATTTCTGATTCTGATTCTGATTCTGATTTGTTTTGTTTAAATGTGATTTTTTTTTATGGTTCAGGACATTGCATTGGTTATTGCCAGTGAAATTGTGGACAACTTCCCAACAACTGTAATGGTGAATATCCAAACATCTTCAGAAAAAGAGGGATTGAAAAAGAGGCATTCAAGACAAAGGTATCCAGGTCATTTCAGAGTCTTTTTGAGTGAACTAACAATGGACCAGATTATGTTCAGAGGCCATCTTCTTCTGGCATCCAGGATGAATTCTCAAGATGGATTATTTTCTGGGTTTTACTGTTGTGTGGTGGTTTGCACTGTTACCTCAAAGCTAGAGGACTCCTGGATCACATCCCAGCTGGGGTCTATCTGTGTGGAGTTTGCATTTCTCTCTGTGGCTTCTCTTTGGCTACTCTGGCTTCCGTCCACCATTCAAAAACAAACATTTCAAATTAACTGGTGTCTCTAAATTAACCCTAGGAGTGTGAATGCACGGTTGTTTTTTCGTGCGATGATGGACAGGTGAACTGTCACGGGTGTACCTCTCAACCAATGCTGGGATGGGCTCCAGTCCCCCCACAATGCTGAATTGGATTAGGTAGGAACAGAAATTGGATTTCTTCCTTTTCACGCATAGTTCTCGTGTAAGTGTAGCAATACAATTATGCCTCCCCTGTTGGAGAATTTGGAGGTACATAGTTCCACAGTAAACAATGGCACTGCCCATACCTCAGCATAGTCACAATGTTGTACTCTTTGAAACACAACTCCCGCAAATGCATAGGCAACAAAGCCACGTGCAAGGATCAAACCACAACATAACATGCAGCTAGGTAGACAATACAAACAGTAAAAACCTGATGCAAAAGCAGAGCTTATAATGTTCCAACCCATTGTAAAAAGGTCTTCACATGACAAAACTATAGATTTTAAATGTTTAAATTCATCATATTGTAGTGTTTAAACCTTTCAGTGGGATGAATATGCCATCTATTTATTCTATTTGAACAAAAACATTTATTAAACATATACACACAGACAGGGATTTGCAGTAATTAATGCTAATAATCAACTCACTCCTTTAATATGCTCATTTACCCCTAACTACTCCTTCCACAAAGATAAGAAACATCGGTTCAATAAGATCCATGGCCATACAAAGGAATATGCTGGATACAATTGATATATGAGGCGTGCAAAAGAAGCCAAAATGATCAGAACACAGTTTTGAAATTGATTATGTAAATATATCTGCAAGCAGGGCACTCGATTGATTTGAATATACCATAATACTGCTCCATATTCAGGGTTTCAGTGTTTTGCATCACACTGCATTGTATATATATTCCACGTGACAATTCCATGTCAGCAGTGTAAACACTGGAGTAGGTCTTCACAATAGAGATCATGCCACATGCCAGCATTGGGCTTAATCAGCTGAGTGAACAGTATTTCACATTAGCCCACATACCGAAAGCTCCACTTTGTTGTGTGTGTGTGTGTGTGTGTGTGTGTGTGTGTGTGTGTGTGTGTGTGTGTGCATTCTTGCAGTGGCTGTATTTATCATCTTGAACAACCCCGGAGCATCCTGGGGAGCATCGGCTTCTGCTTTCTTCTCCCTTATCTGTGAAAGTGCTACAGTCTGGCAGTGAGCCACGCTTGCCAAGTTTAAGCTCGGCTCCCAAAGAGTAAGTTTACATCTAAGTGCCCCTAAAAAATCAAAGGACAGCAGACTTTAGGTCAAGATTGGACTTGTGAAATCAGCAGTGGCTTGTTCATGTGCATTTTCAATAGGACCCATTTCAGTTTCCGTCTCTGTCGTGCTGTCTGACGACAAAAAAGAAAAGCATGTAAAGAACAGAGATGATCTCTTTTCAAAAGCAATATATCAAAGAGATAGGACAGAAGAAAGAATGACGTGTGGGCAACTCTGGGGACCTCATTCAGATAAAATGGATCTCTTGTAAAGATGGTCAACTTCTGGACAGGACTGCTGATTTTATGATGTTCTTTTATATCTAAATAATACAGTAATCTTTGTTGTGCTGTGTTATTTATTATGTAATTGTGTTTTACATTAACCTTAAGGAATTTTAAGCATGGGCTGCTGTATTTTTATTGTCATGGGTGACAAAGCAGAGCTAATTGGGGTTGAAGTTGATCCACCATTGATGTGCTTCTGGGCTGGAAAGGGAGGTAGCAACCAGCGACACAGCCTGGGTGAGAGCATCAAGCTGGCATCCAGGAACTTGCCATCCTCATGAACAGAGCTGTCTCCACGCAACTGACTCCATGACACTGACTTGACGTGTGTGAGCGGGCACCCCGATGCCAGGCCGAGCGACCACTGTCCTCAACGTGTGAATTACAGCTCGCTCACAAGGGTTATTCTAAGACACAACTGTCATGTGATAATTAGCTCAAAATCTGTTTAATTTTGCACATACACTGAATGATTTTATCCTTTGTGGTCATCAGCACGCCAATGTTTGAGCCTGAGTAGGGCAGAAAAAAAGTGATGTAATTTTGCATTTCTTTGTAAATGCTGTTAGACATGCAAATGATGGCACAACGCATGTTTCTATTGATTCAGTAAATTTAAGGCCTGAACTTCCTTTTGTTTAGTCCTGGTCTACTACTTGGAAGGGAACATTTTCGAGCAATAGAACTGTACCTTAATAAAAAAAAAAAGGAACTAAAAAAAATATATATTGATAAAATGACAGAGTAAGAATATGTAATACCATTACTTTCTGCTTAAAGTTACATCTCAACCATTTATCATATATGTTACGTGATTCATTTAAACTACAAGGATGTAGTAATATTACCCAAAGAAATATTTTCCATATTTATTTCTATAAGTGAGGAAAATATTCTATTTATTTATATTTTATTCCTCAGTCACAACAAGAACCTGTGTCAGTTGAAACCAAATGAAAGCATTCGGTTTAACGTCAGTAACGTTCAGTTACAACGTTTTGGCCGTGAGCTGTGGTGAAAGCATGAACCGGGGCTGTCAGCAGGAACATTTAACCCTTCAACTCAGTGTAGTACGGCATGTTTTTGATTTATTAGCATTATATTTTTAAATTTTTTTCCTCCAGGATTTGGGTCTTGGTATGGAGATCAACCATCACACACAGGAATCTAAGACATAGAAAGAGACTAGACATAAAGGAATGAAATACGGTGATGATTTCCTCTGACGATTTCAACCTAGCCTTTCTTTCTTCTCTAACTTTCCGAGAACTTTTCATTTATTCATTTGGTTGGGTGTTTGTTTCCTCTGTTTTACACAGCAACAATGCCTTCTCCCTTTGGTTACTAATCAGGATTTTTCCATCCCATTGAAACGAAACACTGATCCACTATAATTGTTCAAATTTTAACATATGTTTAAAAAAAGAGACAAAAAAAGATCTTCAACATCGGCCTTGATATTTACTGAATCCTATTAATGGGCTTGCCATCTGGGAACTCAACAGAAGCAGGGTGCCAAGCAATAAGTAATGAATCACAGATCTACAGCAGACATGTAGATCTGTCCCTGTACATCAGAGCAGTCTACATGCTTCTCCACAGCTAATTAGCACTCAGCCTCCGACTAGTATATGTTCATGGGCTCAAACAGCCTGAGAGCTGCAATCTGTCTGTCTGGTTTCCAGAAGGAAACAATATATACGGATGCATTTTAATTCATCTGTGCATTCACATGAAAACGATTCCAACCCTACACAAGACCCTGTAAAGATTGTGATATTTAAACACACTTTCCAGCCCCGTGCCAGGTTGCACACGTCCAAATTGATTACAAATATAGTAACTGACGGATAATTCTGAAATTTTTCAATTTAAAGACTTCTAAGATGGAGTCATCGTCATCAACAATTAAACAGTGAATAATAGAGTTTAGACAATCAACAAAGAGGTATCCAGAAGAGACTGACTTTTTAACACTTTGCATTTTTGACAGTTTCCATATATATGTATTTTATTACATATTATTCCATAATAATTACATCTAATCATTGAAAAGTGAACATGGTTACTGGTGTTCCGCAAATTTCTGGTACCTGGATATACCCTTAGATTCTTCTTTAGAAAATGTCCCTTTGTTTCTAAATTCGAGCACAAATAATTGATCACTTACTAATATATTACTTTTTTTTTAAACACCTGCTACTGAGTTGTACCTACAATTAAGATCTAATCATTTTATGTGATGCCAAAATTCCTTTCAGATTCACTCCTTTTTTTTTCTTCCTTTGTATAATTTATTTCCTCTCATTTCCTTGTTGGAAGTCACATCAAAGTTACATTGATATTGGTCCAAAATCCATTCTTTAGACACTCTACCAGTGGTTGTCTCAACCTTTGATAAGATTCACTTTACACAGAAATCCACCACAGGTAGCACCATCATGAAGTAGCCACTAGTTTGCACAGCTGGCATTAAGACATAATTCCAAACGTTCTACTGTTTTATATAAAACAGCAGAAATTAGAATTGTGTTCTGTACAAAAGTAATGGTGGCTCCACTGAGGATGACCTCAGGATTGAAAATAACAACTTTCAGAAGGTCCAAAAACCTGCATGTTAAGTTCATTGGACATGAATGTGAGTGTGTGTGGCTGTTCGTCTCTGTGTCACCCTGTGATGGAAAAGATTAACAAGGACAAGAACTATAGTGCTGAATTTTTTATATCCCTATTTGAAAGTGTGTCAAACTGTAGACAACTAAAGAACATTTAGTTATTAGTTGTTTCACTATGGTTTGCAGAAAAACAATACAAAAAACAACACAAAAACGGAAGAAGAGCGGAAAAGGACAGCAATGAGAATACATGAGTGAAACAACAGGATGTAGGCAGCAGATAATGTTGCAGGGGTGACACAGGGTTATTTGCTGATGACAAGTGGTTCCTCATCACAACCACTCCTGTTGAGAAACCAACAACAAATACTTCAACGCTCAGTTAATTCCCCCCGGACACAGCCCAAGTGGGGAAGACTAGAAATAACCAAAGCCAGTCAGTCACACTCTTTTACACTTCTTTGATCGCTTCACTTACAAAACTATTCTTTTTTTTCCAATTTTAAATAGATCAAACCCACACTGAATAGATAAAACTAAAAGTAAGGCTTCATATAATCTAGTCCTCCCTTAAAAAGAAAAAAGTATTATATTGTTTACTGAAAGTACATGACAACACACAATTAATAGCAATTAAGCCCAAAATATTCCTCCCATTACATTTCAAAAGCTGACATAAAATTAATGGTAATCTTATATTTTGTAGAAAATATATTTGATAAAGCGTATTGTGCTGAATTTGTACTGCAATCCTAAAAAAATGCAGATTTTTTCTGTTTCTGTTTCTGTTTCTGGCATGAAAAAAAAAGATCAAATGGATGGATAGTTTGAAGAGACATAAATGGAACGGATCCAGGAAAAATAATCCTCCTGGAAACGAGAAACCAGTGCACTCAACTAGGAAACCTAAGTATTCCGGCCCATCTTATCTTCACGACATTAAAATTAATGTCTTAATGAATTTTCAAACTTTTCTTGTTGTAAGAATAAATTGCCAAGTAATCCAAACTACAAAAGTCGGCATTTGTTTTATGCACAGCTTATTTTAGAGGAATATATCAGAAACTTTCTCAACTAATTCAAGCCAAAGAAATAGTTTTTTTCAGTGAGAAATTAGTTTAATCCTGCGTGCAGACAGATGTAATGTAAAAGAGTTTGGAGTGTGACGTCCCCACCGATTTGCTTCCTGATTCAAATGACCAAGAAATGTAATGACTGAACAGTCCTGTGTTAAACAAAAATGTGAAAGCGTGAATTCAGGCAAAGCCTGAAGAGTGTAAGTGTACTAACTGCCTACTGAAGATCTAACATCATTCCTTAATATAAGTGAGCTGCCTATTAAATAAGATGGGAAAAAAAACATATTAATTTGAGTTCCATAAACTGTAAAGATAGTGGATTATAGTCTTTATCAAAGAGGAACATACTTGTTTGAATAATGTTATTTATTTTTATTTTACAAGCAAATCTGCAGGGCTTATTTGCCCTAATATCACATAGAGATGCACCGGCACATGTGTGAGTCATTGAAATTCATCTCTACTTATGTTTTCTTTTTACCACCTGCTGCGCGTGTGTGTGTTTGTATTATAGCTGCGAGCCACGATCGCTGATAACCTTTCTCAGTATCTGCTCGCTAACTCTATTAAACTCACTCCCAATCTGTCTGTGTGTGTCCAGATGCTGCGACGAGATGCTTTCCATCAGACTGCAGGCACCTCTGATATGACACAGAGCGGGCGCACACAAGGTTATTGGCAACACACACACAGACACACACACAGATATGCACACTGTAACACGCGGGAAGTTTTCATTATCACAGGTGTTAACGTCATGTCCCATCACACATCTTATATTATTTTAAAATAATCAGCACTTTCCTAATGGCCAGATGACCTTTTTCTGAGCAGTCATTTGGAAATGAAGTTTCTTTAGAGTTTTACTTTTGACTGTGTTTTACTGAAATGTATACACTGCACCATTATGTACAACAGCAACTATGTTGGAAAGTTGCCTGCATTTAAACTAATTTCCTATTTCCTCTTAAGATGTATTTTTGCTGTGATGGAAAAACATTGAACCAGTTTTAAAATTATGTGAAATTATCATTACAATTCCTCTCCGCAATGATTACAGTTAGCAATCTTACTACTATCCACTAATACTCTTGGATGGAGTAAATGTGAGGATACATTTTTTGATTCAACTATTTATTCTCCATTCCCCCTCCTTTTAGAGATCCATAGAACCACACCTCTAAATATGTATACATACATATAGATGTGTGTGTGTGTAACACCCATAAAAATGTAAAATGGGAAAGTCAAGCGAGAATATGCTTCAGCTTTATAAATGCCTGCGAGTCTCCCGTTTTCAGGAACATGTAAAGCATATTCACACAGGGAAACAAAACCCTGCCTTATACGCGCACTTTCACACATGCACACAGACACATAGTTTCTTCAAAGTGAACAAATCATAAATAAAATATGTCGTTCATCAGTGAAACAGGAGCCCACTGTTGTCGAAACGAGAATAACGCCGCCATGACAACCTACAGGGTCATGTGAGGTCACCTGCGTGGCTCCATCATACAGTCACTTCTCCCGCTGTAGGATTCTACGGGGGGATGGATGGTTGTGTGTTTATTCTTTGAACATTGCAGTTTGCATTATTTTCACCCTGTGAAATCCTACATGTGTATGGATGAGCTGGTATGAAAACAACAACAAAGAAAACAACAACAAATAAACAAAAACACTATGCCTGTGATTATACAGAATCTTTATCTCTTATTCAGAAGCCCTTTACTGTTTAAAATGCAGGCCATACAATGAGGGTAAAAGTCAAATTAAACAAAACACCATTCATGTTTTCCATTGAATATGTTTGCTTTGCACTAAAGTTATTTTAAGCCATGTCATTCAAAATGATCTACTTTTATTGATTAGGAAGAGGTTTGAGCAAAATGTGCTTAAAACCGTGGCAAAGCTGTAAATGTAACATCTTTTTATAAAACTGGACCATAGTTCTGAGGACTAGCTTCTAGAATCCCAGCATCCATTACTGTTATACAAAACTTTTTTTGTTTTAGAAATCGTTATAGTCCGTCTACATAGCTTGATTTAAAATAAGACAGCCCAGAAATTGCAATACTATGCATAGTCTGTTACTGTTATGAAAGGGAAATTAACAAAAAAAAAAATGTAATGACTGTTAGGACAGTAATCATGTCTCAAACTAGAATAATATCAGACCTGAGATCATTTGAGCTATATGTGCAAACAACAAATGTGGCATTTGTGGTAACAAATGCTCTTGCTTCACTTTGTTTTTTAGTATGCATGTCACTTGCAGGGAATGAGAAATGGTTGGGACTGGGTGCTATGATACCTCCTTTCCTCCACACTCCACCTGAGATGTCATCAAAGCATCAGCATTTGCGGGATTGCTGCTTGAGCACAATTTGTCCACGTGAAAAACAGCCTGAGCCACAAAAGTGAACCCAAGAAAAATGTTTTTTGCTGAGAAAACCGCATAAGGTTGTGTTTGTTACTTTT